CAAACCAGGAGTTATGCTCCTGGTGGTTAATACGGTGTAACCAAAGAATCTTGCACTCAATGCACAGTGTGATGTTAACTAAATGAGTAAAATATTTAGGAGGCTCAACAGCTACCTGCATTGTAGAACCTTTTCTTATCTCAGAAGAACCTTCCATAACCTAAATATACCATTGATGATGATTCTTCCATTCAGTGACTTCCATAGATTATGCAGCTATACTTGTGAAATAGTGCATGAGGCCCCAGGGCACCGTTCTGGAACAGCGTCACTTCACACAGGCAGCTGAGAAAGGTTCCCTTGCTTTTCCAGAATCTTCCTAAGGATGGAGCCCAAAATTGCAGAGCAGTAATTTTGGAATAAAACCAGGGTGGGTATAAAACTTCTTATTCTTAAATTTACATGTAAGGGCCGGGCATGGTGGCTCAAGCCTGTAATCCCAGCACTTTGGGAGGCCAAGACGGGCGGATCACAAGGTCAGGAGATCAAGACCATCCTGGCTAACATGGTGAAACCCCATCTCTACTAAAAATACAAAAAACTAGCCGGCTAGCCGGGCGAGGTGGCAGGCCCCTGTAGTCCCAGCTACTCGGGAGGCTGAGGCAGGAGAATGGCGTAAACCCGGGAGGCGGAGCTTGCAGTGAGCTGAGATCGCGCCACTGCACTCCAGCCTGGGCGACAGAGCAAGACTCCGTATCATCTGTCTCAAAAAAAAAAAAAAAATTTACGTGTAAGGTCTATCAAGCTTGACACATCTGTGTCATCACGCACTGAAGACAGGAAGCAGTTCACTCAGTCAGCTGGTTCCCAAGCTCGCACAGAAGGTGATGAGTTACTATCAAATGCCAGTGAGAATCTTCGTATAGAATAACCTGGGCCCAAGTGATTTCAGTAAAAAACTTCCCTTTCTTTGGTTTAATTTTCTATGTGCTTTTAGGTGCGAATCCAGATATGTGGTCTTAATTCCCCCTGGAAATACACAGTTCTTTTAGTTACTGTACACTCTGTTTGTTCAATAAACTGCATATCAACTTCCCTCAAAAGCTGACTTTTTTGGGTCTCTTACATACCATAAAGTAGGTCATCGAATTGATTTTTTTTGGAAGTATCTCATATTGGTTAAATTCTTCTGGTATGGACTCTTGCCTTATATAGAGGTTTCTATTTTTCTTAAGTCAGCATCATACAATGGCCGGAGTTTCTGTTTTTGCAACAAGAAGGTGTTGGTATTTTATGTAGGGTAAATGTGAATGGAATACACCTTTGGAACTGAAGTCGTTATCAATAAAGTTTCATAATCCATCCCTCTTCCAAAAATTGATTTGGTTCTTTCTTAGGAAAATATACATTATTATTAATATTCTCATGCTACAGAGGTTTTCTGGTTAAGCTATACCTAAAAATGAAACATGAGAGACATTTGCCAGTTAAAATTAAGAAGACAAGAATATTTGCTGTCACCACAATCAACCTTGTTCTGGCAGTTCTCCCAAGGTACTCAGTCTTCAAACAGACATAAAAGTAGAGGAAAAAGGAGTTAACATAATCAGTATAGAGATGTTATTGTCTGGTGGTGAGGACATGAACTCTGGAGCTGGAACACTTGGATTTGGTTTTGAATTTTATTCTGCTAGTTATTAGCTCATTGGCCCTAAACAAATCTCTTGTTTGAGATCCGTCAGCTGTGAAATGGGGTTACTAATATTACTGCTTCATGGGGTGGTTGTCCGAACTTAGAAAAAATGATAGCTATTATTTGTAGATGGTTATTTTATGTAGAAAACTCAAGAGAAGGCTGGGTGTGGTGGCTCACGCCTGTAATCGCTTTTGGAGGCAAGGCAGGAGGACTGCTTGAGGCCAGTAGTTTGAGAGCAATGTCAGCAACATTTTGTAGAGACCCCCCTCTCTACAAAAACTACTAGCTGGGTGTGGTAGTGTGTACCTGTAGTCCCAGCTATTGCGGAGGCTAAGGTGGGAAGATCACCTAAGCCCAGGAATTTGAGGTGGCAGTGAGCTGTGATCTCACCACTGCATGCCAGCCTGAGATACTGTCTCGAAAAAATTTTAAAAAAAAAAAAAAAAAAGGGCCGGGCGCGGTGGCTCAAGCCTGTAATCCCAGCACTTTGGGAGGCCGAGACGGGTGGATCACGAGGTCAGGAGATCGAGACCATCCTGGCTAACACGGTGAAACCCCGTCTCTACTAAAAAAAATACAAGAAAACTAGCCGGGCGAGGTGGCTGGCGCCTGTAGTCCCAGCTACTCGGGAGGCTGAGGCAGGAGAATGACGGGAACCCGGGAGGCAGAGCTTGCAGTGAGCTGAGATTCGGCCACTGCACTCCAGCCTAGGCGACAGAGCCAGACTCAGTCTCAAAAAAAAAAAAGAAAAAAAAAGAAAACCCAAGAGAATTTATATTGAAACTATAGAATTTCATCTCTATATTAGTGAGAGATGAAATTCAAAAATAGCCATAAAAGCTAACTGTACAAAATGACTTTCCTATATACCATTACTAACCACTTAGCAAACATTATGGAGAAAAAATCAATTTGCAATAGAAACATATAAATCACCTATGGAGAACAAGAGCTTTCAGGATCAATATGAAAAACAGAAAATTGAGAAGCACAAAGGTGTGTCTGCACAGGGTCCCATGCTTGAACTTTAGGGCTTTGTAGCTGCCATCGTGAAATTCTTTTTTGGTTTTGGGTTGTTTTTTTTTTTTTGTGGGGAGGGAATAGGGTCTGGCTCTGTCAGCCAGGCTGTGGAGTGCAGTGGTGCGAACATAACTCGCAGCAGCCTGGACCTCCTGGGCTCAAGCTAGCCTCCCATCTCAGCCACCTGAGTAGCTGAGACTACACATGTGCGCCACTGCACCCAGCTAATTTTTAAATTTTTTATAGAGACAGACTCTCACTTTGTTGTCCTGGCTGGGTTTTTTTGTTTGTTTGGTTTTTGGTTTTTTTTTTTGAGATGGAGTCTCACTCTGTCACCCAGGCTATAGTGCAGTGGCCCAATCTCAGCTCACTGCAACCTTCGCCTCCTGGGTTCAAGTGATTTTCCTGCCTCAGCCTCCCAAGGAGCTGGGACTACAGGTGTGTGTCACCACGCCCAGTTAATTTTTTGTATTTTTAGTAGAGATGGGGTTTCACCATGTTAGCCAGGATGGTCTTGATCTCCTGAACTCGTGATCCACCTGCCTCGGCCTCCTGAAGTGCTGGGATTACAAGGTGTGAGCCACCACGCCTGGCGGTCCGGGCTGGTCTTAAAGTCTTGGGCTCAAGCAATCCTCCCACCTTGGCTTCCTAATGTGCTGGGATTACAGGCATGAGCCTCCATGCCCCGCCCTGCCAAAAAAAGAAATTTGTACTTAGTTTTTTCCCCCCAGGTTCCTCTGTGTGTTAAAAAAGGTTGAATGGGGAACCTGAAATTCCTCCTTTCCTGCTCTTGGAAATGTAGGGCACTTCCCTTTCTCCACAGTGTCAGTAGACGTTGTGTGGAGACTGAACTTCCAGCCCTGCCTGGTGAGAATGAAGTGTTTGTTCCTGTCCTCTCCACCCTCTCTGTGGTATTGGTCGGGGCTGAGAGGGGAGCCTGGATTTCTACCTCCACCCGTGGTAATGAGGTCGCAACTCCCTTTTCCCACCAGTGTGATGTTGGCTAAAGAATATTTAAATCAGATTGAGAGCCTCCTAATATAACACCCCAAACTTTCAAGATAAAATAAAAAAATCACTCACCATCTGAGGGCAGTGGCTCCCACCTGTAATCCCACCACCTTGGGAGGCCAAGGTAGGCGGATCACCTGAGGTCAGGAGTTCATGACCAGCCTAGCCAACACAGCCGAACCTCATCTCTACTAAAAATACAAAAATTAGCTGGGCGTGGTGTTGGGCGCCTGTAATCCCAGCTACTCAGGAGGCTAAGGCAGGAGAATCACTTGAACCCAGGAGGCGGAGGTTGCAATGAATCGAGATCGTGCCACTGCACTCCAGTCTGGGAGACAAAGTGAGACTCTGCCAAAAAAAAAAAAAAAAAACCCCAAAAAAAAAAAAAAAAAACCGCAACAAACAAAAAAACACAAAAAGGCCGGGCACAGTACCTCATGCCTGTAATCCTAGCACTTTGGGAGGCTGAGGCGGGCGGATCACCTGAGGTCAGGCGTTCCAGACTAGCCTGGCCAACATGACAAAACCCTGTCTTTACTAAAAGTACAAAAATTAGCCAGGTGTGGTGGTGGGAGCCTGTAGTCCTAGCTACTCAGAAGGCTGAGGCAGGAGAATCGCTTGAACCCGGGAGGCGGAGGTTGCAGTAGGCTGAGATCATGCCATTGTATTCCAGCATGGACAACAAGAATAAAACTCCTTCTCAACAAACAAACAAAAAAGTGCTAGCATGTGCCAGACGGATCCCAGACCACCATCTCGCTTTCTTTTTTTTGTTTTTTGAGACAGTGTCTTGCTCTGTCGCCCAGGCTGGAGTGCAGTGGCACGCTCTCAGCTCAATGCAACCTCCGCCTCACAGGTTCAAGCAATTCACCCGCCTCAGCCTCCCAAGTAGCCGGGATCACAGGTGCGCACCACCTCGCCCGACTAATTATTGTATTTTTTTGGTAGACACGGGGTTTTGCCATGTTGGCCAGGCTGGTCTTGAACTCCTGGACTCAAGTGATCCATCTGCCTCGGCCTCCCAAAGTGCTGGGATTACAGGGGTGAGCCACTGCACTCGGCCTCTGATTTCTTTTCTTAAAAATAGACATAGACGGGGAGGGATAGCATTAGGAGATATACCTAATGTAAATGACGAGTTAATGGGTGCAGCACACCAACATGGAACATGTATACATATGTAACAAACCTGCACATTGTGCACATGTACCCTAGAACCTGCATGTTGTGCACATGTACCCTAATCATTACACTTAAAGTATAATAATTTAAAAAATAGGTATAGAGACGGGTTCTATGTTGCCCAGGCTGGTCTCGAACTCTTGGCCTCAAGCCATCCTCCCTCCTTGACCTCCCCAAGTGCTGGAATTACAGGCGTGAGGTGCTGCGCCTGCCTCCTATTCTGATTTCAAAGCACTAAGACCACAGCTGATTGCTGAATAAGGAGTGGGCGTGTCAGCTACCTCAGTGGGGACGGCCGGCGGGGGTGAGCAGACAGGCTCCTGGGCCCTGTACTCTCCCACCACCCAGTTCCCCCCACCATCCACCTGCAGGCACCCCCTCTCCCCTGGAGTCTCTAACACAGAGCTGGCAGGGTACAGCCGGGCCTGGGCTGCCAACCTGGCTTGCCTGGTTCCTTAGGCCCTGAGGTTGGGGGCCAGCTCCTCCCCACTTCCAGCCTGGCCCTCCAAACCCAAACCAGGTCAAGGTCATGGTGCTGGGACAACAGACCTCCCCCTGAGCTCAACCTTACCTTGAAAGCCCTGTCTCTTCAGGTTCTCGTCCACCAGAGGGTCCCCGGAGTCCCTCTCTGGGGGCAGGGCAGGGGGAGAGAAGCCAAGTGAGGAGGCAGTTCCTGGGACCCAAGATGGCATCGTTAGGGGAAACCCAGTGCGGGGGTGTGGGAAGAATGCCAGGGACAGGATGGGAGCAGGACAGAGGCAGCAGGAGGAGGGGCGGGTGGCAGAAGCCCTTGGGGCCCTCCCTTGCCCACCCACACCACAGCCTGCGACCCCACGCTGGGTACCTTGACTCTCCACGATGGGCTCTTTGAGCAGCTCAGGCCTGGAAAACACAAGTGGGGCTATCACAGAGGTCCCTCCAAGCATCTGTGGGACTGCCCAGCACTCCCCTCTGGGCCTCCGTCTGCATATCCCTGTAATGGACCCTCCTGGGTCCGCACAGTTCAGGCCTGGAGTCCCTGTCGCCCCATGTGTGGAATCTGGGGGGCTGCGCTGGGCTTGAAGGGTCCAGCTGGGAGTGAGACCCGCCCAGTCCTGAACACAACTGTCTGATATCTCACTCCTGCTCCCAGGACATTGCATGATTGTCACTGCCGGGGATTGGAGCAGGCGGCCTCAGAGGGCCTCCCGTGGAGCTGGTTTAAAGTGTAGAAACAAGGTCTGGTGCAGTAGCTCACGCCTGTAATCCCAGCATTTTGGGAGGCCGAGGAGGATGGATTACTTGAGGTCAGGAGTCTGAGACTAGCCTGGCCAACATGGTGAAACCCATCTTTACTGAAAATACAAAAAATCAGCTGGGTGTGGTGGCAGGCTCCTATAATCCCAGCAAGTCGGGAGGCTGAGGGAGGGAAATCACTTGAACCCAGGAGGGGGAGGTTGCAGTGAACTGAGATAGCGCCACTGCACTCCAACCTGGGTGACAGAGCAAGACTCTGTCTCTAAATAAATAAATAAATAAAGTGTAGAAACAGTCGGGGCCCACTACATAGCAAGAACTCCAAGCTTCTGGAAAGGTCTGAGATCTATGGCTCACATCTGAGAGCTGCTGTGTCACTGCAGTCGGGAGCACCAGTGACCAAGCCCAGCTCCGTATTATACTAATGTCTTTAGCTCCACAGACTCCAGAAAGCCCTGCCCGGACATGAGTCAACCTTCTTTATCATAGAGCACTGCTTCTTAAGGCCCCATCTGCAGCACAACTTGTCCCCTTAGAGCAAGCCTGTTGGGGGGCTGGGGTTTGTGGTGGGTAGAGGACACTGGGAAAATCATGCTGGCCAGAGCAGGGCTGTCGGGGGATGGCAGGGTGGGCCATGGAGTGCAGAGGTAATGAACTCTCTGGAGAGGTAATGGACTTGGAGAGGTAATGAGCTCTCTGTCACAGGGGTAATCAAGCAGCAGCACCTAGGAGTCTCTGCCTGGGAGTGAGACCAAGGGCCAAACTCTCAGGGAGGGCACCCCCTGGGTCCCCAGTAGATGAGGATTTGGTGCCCACTCTGGCGGTGGGCTTCTGTACAGTGCCAGGCACAGAGCTGAGGTCACGGGGCCAGGGCTGGGAGTGGGAAGCATAGCCCTGCCTTGAACCACAGTCTCGGGAGCTAGAAAAGGCTTCGGACTGCATTTAGGCTCCTCCTGTTTATGGGAGAACTCAGGTTCTGAAAGGGGAAGCGAGTTCCCAACAGTAACCTCAGAGAGGCCGAAGCTGGGCAGAGCCCCTGAGTCCAGGTCCAAGTAGTGACAGTGGTTCTGCTTAAATAGCACAGCCAGCTGCCAAGGCCACGGGGAGTAACAGGAGGAGCTGGCCTCAAACCCACCAGACGGCCTCTCCCGTCGGCCACTGCGCTAACCTGCCTCCCTTTCCAAATGACAGGTGGAGAAAGCCATCGTGACTTTAAAAACTGCTCATGGCTGGGCGCGGTGGCTCAACCTGTAATCTCAGCACTTTGGGAGGCTGAGGCAAGGGGATCGCTTTGAGCCCAGGAGTTTGAGACCAGCTTGGGCAACATAGCGAGACTCCCCTTCTCTATAAAAAATGTAAAAATTAGCCAGGTGTGGTGGCGTGCTCCTGCCGTCCCAGCTACTCAGGAGGCTGAGGCAGGATTGCTTGAGCCCCGGAGTTTAAGGCTGCAGTGAGTTATGACTGTGACACTCCAGCTTGGGCTACAGAAAGACCTGTCTCTTAAAACAAATGCTTATGGCCAGGCATGGTGGCTCACGCCTGTAATTCCAGCTACTTGGGAGGCTGAGGCAGGAGAGTTGCTTAAACCTGGAAGGTGGAGGCTGCAGTGAGCCGAGATGGCACCACTGTACTCCAGCCTGGGTGACAGAGCGAGACTCTGTCTCAAAAAAATCCACAAAAGGCCGGGCATGGTGGTTCACGCCTCTAATCCCAGCACTTTGGGAGGCCAAGGTGTACGGATCACTTGAGGCCAGCCTGGCCTACATGGTGAAACCCCGTCTCTACTAAAAATACAAAATTTAGCCAGGCGTAGTGACATGCGCCTGTTATCCCAGCTACTCAGGAGGCTGAGGCAAGGGAATCGCTTGAACCCGGGAGGCGGATGTTGCAGTGAGCCGAGATCACACCACTGTACTCCAGCCTGGGCAACAGAGTGAGTGAGACTCTCAAAAACTAGGGAAAAAAAACACAAAAACAAAAAACCAATGCTCATGAGCACAAGATGTCTCTGCACAGAACCATAGAAAATGTCACTCATGAGGACTTGCTGTTGAATGGGCACCTAACCTCAAGCTGACCGGGTGCCCCTGGTTTATGCTTTGAGGGAGTGGGCGTTGAAAGCAAAAACCAAAACAAAAACCAGAATGAGAGCCTGTCTCTAAGAATTTTTAAAAAATAAAGTAACATTCAAACTCTTTAAGCTGGCCCCAAACCCATGTGATCTGGCCCCTGCCCACCTTTTTATTTTTCTTTTAATTAATTAATTTATTTATTTATTTATTTTTGAGACAGAGTTTTTTTTTTTGCTCTTGTCGCCCAGGCTGGAGTGCAGTGGCACAATCTCAGCTCTCTGCAACCTCTGCCTCCCAGGTTCAAGCAATTCTCCTGCCTCAGTCTCCTGAGTAGCTGGGATTACAGATTACAGGTCCCCCTCACCCCCCATACCTGGCTAATTTTTGTATTTTTAGAGACAGGGTTGCACCGTGTTGGCCAGGCTGGTCTTGGACTTCGGACCTCAGGTGATCCACCTTCCTCGACCTCCCAAAGTGCTGGAATTACAGGCGTGAGCCACTACTCCTGACCTGTTTTTCTTTTTTATAGAGATAAGGTCTCACTATGCTGCCTAGGCTGGTCTCAAACTCCTGAGCTCAAGCAATCCTCCCACCTCAGCCTCCCAAAGTGGTAGGATTACAGGCGTGGACCATCGTGCCTGGTCCCTTGCTACCTCTTTGGCCTCAATCTCACCATCCTTCCCTCACTCAGCCTGCAGCAGCTACAAGGGCACCTTGCGAGCCTTCAAACACACAAGCACGTTCTTGCCTTAGGGACTTTGCATGACTTTTTCTCTGTCCCCACAGTCTTTTTTTTTTTTTTTTTTTTTTTGAGACAGAGTCTCCTCTGTCACCCAGGCTGGAGTGCAATGGCGTGATCTCGGCTCACTGCAACCTCAGCCTCCTGGGTTCAAGCGATTTCTCCTTGCCTAGCTCCTGAATAGCCTGGGATTACAAGGCACACCGGACCACGCCAGGCTAATTTTGGTTTTGTTAGTAGAAGACGGGTTTTCTCCATGTTGGTCAGGGCTGGTCTCAAACTTCTCTGACTCTATGATTCTTTCCTTGCCTCAGGCCTCCCAACGTGCTGGGATTTACAGGCGTGAGCATCTGCGCCCTGGGCTGCTCCCTCCCATTTTCCTTTATGCACCTGGCTGGCTTCCTCATACCTTTCATTGGTCAAACTGCTCCAGTGTCACCTCCTTATCCACGGTTCCTCCTGTTCCTCTCTCCCCTCACCTCCTGAGTTACGGTCCTGTCACCTAGCAGTTATTCTATTCCTGACATGATTACTGTGATTTTGTCTGTAATTCACGTTTGGGGAGGACCAGGGCAGGAGGATGGCCTTGAGTCAGGAGTTTGAGAATCATGTCTGGGCAATGTGCAGACCCTCTCATCTAAAAAAATAATAAATAACAATAAATAATAAATAAATAAATAATAAATAAATAAATTAGCTGGGCATGGGTTCCGGCGCCCAGTGGGCTCAAAGCTGTAATTCCGCACTTTGGACGGCCGAGACGGGCAGATCACCGTAGGTCAGCGCAGATTGGGAGACCATCTGGCTAACACGGTGGAAACCCGTCTCTACTAAAAAAAAATACAAAAAAACTAGCCGGGCCAGGTGGCGGGCGCCTGTAGTCCCAGCTACTCGGGAGGCTGAGGCAGGAGAATGGCGTAAACCCGGGAGATGGAGCTTGCAGTGAGCTGAGATCCGGCCAATGCACTCCAGCCTGGGCGACAGAGTGAGACTCCATTTCAAAAAATATATAAAAATAAATAAATAAATAAATTAGCTGGGCATGGTGACACACACCTGTGGTCCCAGCTATTGGTGTGGCTGAGGCACAAGAGTCGCTTGATGGCAGTTCGGTGCTGCTCCTGCCCGTGGGTGCTGAGCAGGCCTGGCGCTGTCTCCTGTGGACCTGGTCGGGCCTTACCTCTTGAAGACAAACTGGATGCTATTGCTGGCCTTCAGAACCTTCTGGAACTTGGCGATCCCGAAGCAGTTGGACCTGCGGAGGGAGATGCCTTCACGCAGCTCCACCACCAACAGCTCCTCCGGGTGCATCAGAAACTTGGAGTACGGCACCTTGACGGGCTCCGAGGTGCCAATGGCCTTGGCTGCAGAGACATGGCTGCTGTAAGGCCACCCAGTGCCACGGGGCCAGAAGCCTCAACCCCTGTGTCCTGTGCCTATGTAGGGGGCAAAGCTGCCAGAACCCTTTTGAAGGCCTGCCAGTCTTCCTGGGAGGTGGGAAGAGTGGCCTCCCAGCTTGCAGGAAAGGACCCTGGAGCTCACAGGGCACGTGACTTGTCTGAGGTCACAGAGCCACTGAACAGCAGAGCCAGGGGATAAGAACTCAACCCATGCTTACCCCAAGGCCCACGCTGGGTCCATGCCCTCATGCCCAGGCAGCACAGAAGTCACCACTAATGGCTGCTGAGATTCGGCATTACCTCCCCCTAAGTCCACTTGACCTCACCCTTCCAGTAAGGCCCCTCCAGTGTCCCTCCTGCCACCACAGGCAACCCCACACACTGGTGTGGCCCAACACCACGCTGTGGAATGAGCCTGATCTCTGCCACTGAGTAGTGTGGGGCCTTGGACGAGCCACACCCCTTTACCAGGTCTCAGTTCTCTTCATCTGTAAAGTGGGTCTTAAGACATGGGGATTTGCCGGGCGCGGTGGCTCAAGCCTGTAATCCCAGCACTTTGGGAGGCCGAGACGGGCGGATCACGAGGTCAGGAGATCGAGACCATCCTGGCGATGAAACCCCGTCTCTACTAAAAAAATACAAAAAACTAGCCGGGCGAGGCGGCGGGCGCCTGTAGTCCCAGCTACTCGGGAGGCTGAGGCAGGAGAATGGCGTAAACCCGGGAGATGGAGCTTGCAGTGAGCTGAGATCCGGCCACTGCACTCCAGCCCGGGCGACAGAGCCAGACTCCGTCTCAAAAAAAAAAAAAAAAAAAAAGACATGGGGATTTTGTGAGATGGGATACAACAACATGGGGGGCTGGGCACGGTGGCTCATGCCTATCATCCCTGCACTTTGGGAGGCAGAGGCGGGCGGATTGCTTGAGGTCAGTCGTTCAAGACCAGCCTGGCCAACACAGTGAAGCCCTGTCTCTATCAAAAATACAAAAATTAGCTGGGCGTGGTGGCGGGCACCTATAATCCCAGCTACTCGGGAGAGTGAGGCAGGAGAATCGCTTGAACCTGGGAGGCAGAGGTTTCAGCGAGCCGACATTGTGCCACTGCACTCCAGCCTGGATGACAGAGTGAGACTCTGTCTCAAAACAAAAAAACAAAACAAAACAAAAAAACATGGGGAAGCACCTAGCCTCATGCCTGGCACACCACTGAGGTTATCTTATCTTATTCTTTTCTTTTTAAGGAGGGTCCCAGCTCCTCCCTTCTCTCCCTCCCTTGTCCCTACCCAGAGAGCAGCTCGGATGGGAGCAGGCAAGGGGATGGGTCCAAAGTCCTTCTGCAAACAGGGCAGCTGGAGGGGGCCGGGATGCCCCCAGACCCCGTCCCACTTGTTGCTCACTGTAATGTGTATTGACGAGCAGCTCCACCTGCTTCCACAGGGGCTGGATCACGTCACTGTGGCTGTCTGGAAGGCAAAAGGCAGTCTGTTGAGGCTCTTTGGTGGCAGCTTCTTGGCTGATGTTCCTGCTCTGCTGGTACCAAGATTGGCCCTGTGGTGGGATCTTGGAATGGGGGAGGGCTGGGGCGGTGGCGGTGGATAACTTATTTCCTCAGAAATGTCACACGCAGACAGATCCACAATTCCTAGGCTCACAATCTTGTTTGTGAAATCAAATCTAGGGCACCACCGGTCTAAATGAAGATTTGGAAGGTTCTGTGTACTAGCAGTGACCATGGGTCTCTCTAGGTATGTGACTGAGTACAGTACGTGACTGAGAACTAGTGGGTACACACTAAGCCTGCGAATTGAGCACGCCGCCACCAGGTGGCAGTGGAACTGTGTTAAGACTTCCTGGTTCCTCCGGCCAGGCTGGGTTTGGGGAAGTGACAGTTCTCTCCTTTGACACTCACTCATTCCATTCCAGGGTACTCCACAGGTGAAACAGACCCACCCTCACCTTGGCCTCCCTCTCTCTCTGTCCTACTTCCATTCTCAGCAGGGTGGGAATTCTCATGTTCCTCAGAATGGGCGTGTCTGCTGGACACAGCCAATTTTGTGCTTTCAGGCCTCTATTCTACTTGTTCAGATAGAGGAGGCTCAGTTTCCAGTCTTAAAACCTTTGCGGAAGGCAGCAGGGTGTGTAATGAAAACAAAGCCTTGTAATTTCCCTTAGCAGTGGGAACCGCTCGCAGCTCTGACCAGGTACCTCCTAAAGACCTTCTGGAAGACGGGTCTTTAAATCTCCTCCCACCTCAGGCAGCCCACAGGACTCCCATCCCCAAACCAGGGTGCTGGAGAGAGATGGGATGGAGAGAAGGAAGAGACCCCGAGGCCAAGGGGAGGTGGAGGGCAGGGGAGAAGAGATGGGGTGGGGGTGGGCATAAAATGTGGGGGGTAGACAGGGCCTCACCCTCCATGGGCCACTCCTCGGGCTAAGGGTCCTCACTTGGACCTTTGTCTAAAAGAGAACAGAGGACGCCGGGAAGCCACGTTCATCATCTCCTAAGCCACGCACTGCTGACGTCAGACCAGAGAGCTGGGGAATGGCAGGCCAGGGGGCCCCAACTCTGAAGCATGGCACCCACTCCAATGGGCTCAGAGACCCCGATTCTGTACAGGTGCCCACCCTGGCCTTCACACAGAAGCAGGCTGAGAACATTTTGCATGCACCTCCCAAGCTAGTCTGTTTTAGACACCGAGGACACGTGGGAACAAGGCAAAGTCCTTGGCCAGGCATGGTGGCTCACGCTTGTCATCACAGCACTTTGGGAGGCCGAGGTGGGAGGCCAGGAGTTCGAGACTAGCCTGGCCAAAATCGGGAAACACCGTGTCTACTAAAAATACAAAAATTGGCCGGGCCTGGTGGTAGGCACCTGTAATCCCAGCTACTCGGGAGGCTGAGACAGGAGAATCACCTGAACCTGGGAGGTTCCGTCTAAAAAAAAAAATTCCAGGTGAGAACACGGGACAATTTGTTTAAAATTGTCATCACATGAGTTAGCACATAGAAAAAAAAACATACAAAAGGGTAGATACTAGGAATACTAGTGGTTGCCTGAGGAGGATGTGACCGGAGCTTTTTCCTTCACATGTTACATATTTTTTGTTTTGTTTTGCTTTGTTTTAAGAGACAGGGTCTTGCTCTGTTGCCCAGGCTGGAGTACAGTGGTGCAATCACAGCCCACTGCAGCCTTAACCTCTTGGGCTCAAGCAAATCTCCCACCTCAGCCTCCCGAATAGTTGGGACTACAGGTATGTACCACCACATCCAGTTAATTGTTTTATTTTTTTGTAGAGATGGGATCTTGCTATGCTGCCCAGGCTGGTTGTAAACTCCTGGGATCAAGTGATCCACCTGCCTCAGTCTCCTCAGTAGCTGAAACTAGAGGCGTGCGTCACCACGGCTGGCTACTTTTAAAATTTTTTTGCAGAGAAAGGGTTTCGCCATGTTGCCCAAGCTGGTCTCGAACTCCTGGGCTCAAGTGATCCTCCCACGTTGGCCTCCCAAAGTGCTAGGATTACAGACATGAGCCACTCACTGTACCTGCTCAATGTATTACACAGTTCTGTATCATTTAACTGTTTCATATCATACATGTGTAAACAGAAAAAGCACACACATGCAAAATCCTCTAATCCATGGTGGTCCTGGACATCTCAGAATTTTCTTTTTTTGTTGTTGTTTTGTTCTTTTTGAGACAGAGTCTCGCTCTGTCACCCAGGCTGGAGCACAGTGGTACAGTCTCAGCTCACTGCTACCTGTGCCTCCTGGGTTCAAGCGATTCTTCTGCCTCAGCCTCCCGAGTAGCTGGGATTACAGGCATGCACCACCATCAGAATTTTCTTTTTCTTTTTTCTAGACAGAATTTCGCGCTTGTCACCCAGGCTGGAGTACAGTGGTGCGATCTTGGCTCACTGTAACCTCTGCCTCCTGGGTTCAAGTGATTCTCCTGCCTCAGCCTCCCAAATAGCAGGGGTTAGAGGTGCATGCCATTATGCCCGGCTAATTTTGTATTTTTAGTGGAGACGGGGTTTCACCATGTTGGCCAGGCTGGTCTCGAACTCCTGACGTCAGGTGATCCACCCGCCTTGGCCTCCCAAAGTGCTGGGGTTATAGGCGTGAGCTACCACACCCAGCCATAATTTTCTTAATTCATCGAGTTTGACTGGGGTGCCTGGGAAGGGGCCCTGCATGGGAAACGTGTTCCAGCCCAAGGCTGTGTGACCTGTGTGGGGAGATGGCTGAGCCTGACTGAGCCTGTGTTCTGCTCTGTGAAACAAACAGCAATGGTGCTATGCTCATCCACGGTCCCCGGCCCCTGCAGTGCCACCCAGCCTCTGGCTGTGAGTGCTGCGTGGAGGCTTCTATGGTGTTTTCTAATGCCACTGCGAAACCCAGCTGGGTGCCATGTCAATTCCTTAGCCGCCACGCCATGCTGTCATCTCAGCCTGAGCTTGGCGTCAACCAAACTCTCTGGATAGCTACACCACAGACTGCTGTCAAGTCTAGTCATGCCCAGTTCGTGCTGGACAAAGCATAGTTTTTTTTCTCCATTACCAAAGTATTAGAAGTGCATCATAACTGATTTAGAAAATAAACGCAAATCAGTTTGCCTAGCACTGCTACTGTTTTGCCATACCCTTGTTTTTCCCCAGTGATTACATTTGAAACACAGTTGTAAGCAAAGCACAATCAAATTTTCTTCTTTTGCTTAGTGTTACATCCTAAGCATCCTTCCTTGTTGCCTATTTTTGTTTGTTTGTTTGTTTGTTTCTGAGATAGAGTTTCACTCTGTTGACCTGGCTGGAGTGCAGTGGCGCGATCTCGGCTGCAAACTCCGCCTCCCAAGGTAGAGTGTACAGAAAAATGTACCTCCCTGATAAGCAAAAATTGTAACATTTCCAGAGAGCAATTCAGCACGGTATGTCGTGAGCCTTAAAAATCTTTTTAGGCTGGGAGTGGTGGTGGCTCATACCTGTAATCCCAGCACTTTGGGAGGCCACTTGAGCTCAGGAGTTTAAGACCAGCCTGGGCAATATAGTGAGACCGCATCTCTACAAAAAATTTTTAAAAATATGATTTGGGCTTGGTGGTACACGCCTGTAGTTCTAGCTACTCAGAAGGCTGAGGCTGGAGGATTGCTTGCACAGCCCAGAAGGTTGAAGCTACAGTGAGCTGTGGTCACAGCACTGCACTCCAGTCTGAGTGACAGAGTGACTCTGCCTCAAAAAAAAAAAAAAAAAAATTTACTTTTTGGCACACTAACTCTATCCTAAGATAATAATCAAAAACATATAAAAATTTCTAGACATCTATCCTAAGATAATAATCAAAAACATATAAAAAATGCACATACAAATATTGACTATAGGAATAAAAGATTTCATTGTTTACATTGTACAGGTGAATGTTTAAATTATGGTACACCCATTTGTGTTATTTATTTTTAAAAATTTTGAAGTATAACTATGTAGAAAACTATCCTAGCATAATGTTAAGCATGGTTCCAAATGTGTTTCAAAATCTGATGCAAAGCACACAGAAAGCAGGCAGGTGGGAAGGAAGGATGGGGGAAAGAAAGAAAGGAACAATGAAAAGAAGAAAAAGGAAGGAAGAAAGAAAGAAGAAGGAAAGGAAGGAAGGAAAGAAAAGAAAGAGAAAGAGAAAGGAAGGAAGGAAGGAAGATAGGGAGGGAAGAGGAAGGAAGGAATGAAGGGAGGAAGAGAGGAAGGGAGGGAAGAAAGAAAAAGAAGAAAGGAAGGAAAAAGGAAAGGAAAAAGAAAGAAAAATGAAAGAAAAGAAGCAAAGAAAGTAGGAAGGAGAGAAAAGGAAAGAAATAGGAAGGTAGTGAAGGAGGGAGGGAGGAAGGAAGGAAAGAAAAGAGAAAATGGGAAAAAAAGCAAAATCTTAGCAGTAGTTACCATTGGGTTTGAAGGATAGAGGTGCTTTTAATTTTCCTTTTTAATATTCTCTAAATTTGCTATAGGGGTAGAATCATCCCTTCTGGCAGGTTCTGAGAGTTGTCTGTCCTTACTGGAATAATGAGTTGAGCCTGATGCAGTGGCTCACGCCTGTAATTCTAGAACTTTGGGAGGCTGAGGCAGGTGGATCACAAGGTCAGGAGATTGAAACTATCCTAGCTAACATGATGAAACCCCATCTCTATTAAAAATACAAAAAAATTAGCCAGGCATGGTGGCATGTGCCTGTCATCCCAGCTACTCAGGAGGCTGAGGCAGGAGAATGGCTGAAATCTGAGAGGTGGAGGTTGCAGTGAGCCGAGATCACACCACTGCACTGCAGTCTGGGTGACAGAGCGAGACTCCATCTCAAAAAAAAAAAAAAAAAAAAAAAAGTGAGTTGTTTGTGGGGTAGGTGTCTGGTTTACATTTCCTCTATAGAACTGCGCATCTGCAGAATGCTTTCACTGCCAGAGAAAATTGCTTGCTCCCTTAATAAAAAGTCAATGAAGCTGAAAGAAATCTACTTCTTGGATTTGGGGTGGAAGCCCGAAGACTGGTAAGCATTCTTAAATACCAAGGAAACTCACCCAGGCACTGAGAGGGGACGGTTGTCAGGATGGACCTGAAATTCTCATGACATTTGATGTGGGGATGGTGGGCAGGGCCTCTAGTCACTGTCTCCTGATTTGAAAAGTTAGAAGGGTGAATGAACGCACAGGACCATGACTTCAAGTGGAAACGTTATCACTTTGTAAATAATAGCAACTCATCCTGAACTCCCTACCTTGTCTGGTGAATGTAGGTGAATCCATCAATGGGGGGCTGGGCTAGATGCACTTCCTTTCACACTGCGTTAATTCTGTTCCCTAAGGCCAGGCACAGTGGCTCACACCTGTAATCCCAGCACTTCAGGAGGCTGAGGCAGAAGGATCACTGGAAGCCCAGGAGTTTGAGACCAGCCTGGGCAACATAGTGAGATCCCACCTCTACAAAAAATAAAATGAAAATAAAGTTCTATGCCCTAAATCTCTGTCCAGCTCAGGCTACATATCTGTAGTGCTGGTGGGCCTGCAAGCACACACAGGTTCTGGAACTTGCCTTCAGTTTATTTACAATCCAGTAGAAATGGAAAAACATGAAAAGTTGCCAAGCACAGTGGCATGTGCATGTCATCGCAGCTCCTGAGGGGGCTGACACAGGAGGATGGCTTGAGCCTGAGAGTTTGAATCCAGCCTGGGCAACATAGTGAGACTCCCTCTCTTAAAAAAATAGAAAAAGGGCCGGGTGTGGTAGCTCATACCTGTAATCCTAGCACTTTGGGAGGCTGAGGTGGGCAGATCACCTGAGGTCAAGCAGTTCCGGAACCCGAGCTGCGGGGCGGCCCAAGCCAGGGTGAACCCCATCGTCACTCTACAAAATGAAAAAATTAGTCTAGGCACGGGGCACGCGTGGAATGGCTCAATGGGGGCCCCCCCTGTTAATCCCAAGACACTCTGGAGATGCGGAGAAGATGGAACAGCGGGATCAGAGATCAGTGAGGAATCATAGACCATCCTGGCGTAATACGGTCGGAAAACCCCACGTCTCTTTTACTAAAAAATGTACAATAAAGAAACTAGAACACGGGCGAAAGGTGAACGCAGGGCCGGAACCTGTATCCCGTAGCGTACTCGGAGACTGAGGTCAAGAGAGAAATGGCCGTGAAAACCCGGGAGGGCGACGAGCTGCGTGGAGCTCGAGATCGGGGCCACTGCACTCCAACACCGAGCGACATAAGGAGAGAGACGTCCATCTAAAAAAAAAAAAAAAAAAAAAAAATTAGCATGGCATGGTGGCATGTGCCTGTAATCCCAGCTACTCCAGAGACTGAGACAGAAGAATAGCTTGAGCCCGGGAGGGAGACGTTGCAATGAGTCGAGATCACACTAGTGCACTCCAGCCTGGAAGACAGAGTGAGACTCCATCTCCCCGGGGGGAAAAAATTGCAACTTTTGGCAGGGCATGGTGGCTCATGCCTGTAATCACAGCATTTTGGGAGGCTGAGGCTGGCAGATCACTTGAGGTTAGGACTTCGAGACCAG